TAAATAAGGTTAGTTTTAGATATAAGTTGAATTAGGTTAGTTTCAGTCAATTAAAAAAATAATGTTCGTTTTTAGAAAAATCAGTTTATATTTTATTTTAAAAAATGTTTTTTAACTGTTAAATCTTTTTAAAAATTATATTGGTAAATTAAAATTAAATTGGTAAAATTCAAAGTATTTCACCGAAATTATATTTTAAACTCGTGCATAGTAAGTATATATACATTAATATAAAAGATCGAAATGTATAAATCACTACATCCAAAATCGTATCTTTAACTCGTGTAAAACGCCTCTAAGGTACGGCGGTAGCAACGTACAGCGCCACCTACCAAATGTACCCAATTCTGGGGATTCACCACGCTACAATATATATATATTTTTTTTATAAATAAAGCTAAATATATTTAAAATATATAATTGAACAATTATTTAATTTATTATATAATATTTTATTTGTTAAAATTATTTTTTATCATTTATTTTATATCAACAATTAGCCATTCCTGGATCAAGTAGCCAAAATAGTTACAAATTTGTTTGAAAGATGGCAGCACCTGCCTGTGAAACTTTCCAACTTTTCGTTTGACTTTGTCTTTAACGTATTTAGTTTGGTACAGAATACATTTCAAAGTGAAATTTCTCATTTTATATTTTATTAAATTATAAATAAATTACAATTATAATTTCAATTATCATATATAACTAAAAGAAAAATGGGCATCTCCTTATGGGGCAAGTGAAAGTTACTGATGGCTTGCGCCATCTATCGGAATAAATATCAACGATTCGTTGATTTTTAATTATTCCAGAATTGGCCAAATACCCATTCTTAATTAATCAAGAAAAGCTAACCGCGTACGCGTTTCGGGCTGTTGGCCCTCATCAGCGTGGTACAAGCTTTACCTCAACGACCAAAAAACTGGTCATTCAGGCATCCTGAAAAATCATGAAGCGGGTATTTAAGGCAAGAATTGCGTGAGAAAACGAATCAATACGAAAAAATAGTACAAAACCGAAACGCGTACATTATAGCTTTTCTTAATTAAGAATGGGTATTTGGCCAATTATGGAATAATTAAAAATCAATAAATATTCGATATTTATTCCGATAGATGGCGCAAGCCATCAGTAACTTTCATTTACCCGATAAGGAGATGCCCCCCCTTTTTTTTTTTTTTTTTTTATGAACTTTAATCCCAGTGCAATATGACATTGGTAATATTTTTTTCACATATAACTAAATTTTTGCAATTATTTTTGGCAATATAATTCTCACTGTATTTTATTAAATATTATTTCTATATATTATACACCCATACCTCGCTTTGCGTCGGAGTTACGTTCCAAAAAAACACGACGCAAATTGTAACGACGCAAAGTAAAAATAAAATTTTGATGGCATGGCGCAATCAAAAACAAAGGTTAATTTACTAATATATATTGGTTATGAAAACATATTTCGCGGAAGAGCTTTGCTCGATGCAATACCTTGGAATTATATGTATGTACCTCTACATACCTATAAGCTTATGTCCATGGTTCACTAAACACCCCTAAGCTGCCTTCCATAGAAAATACAGGGTATACTCCAAACCAATCCAATACAATAGTAGAGCGGTCTAGAGATTAATTTGGTTAAACCGCTGAGAGGTAACCGCTGGTCTGCAGAGATAATAGTTTATGATATTTAAAAGAAACACATTGCCAGTAAATTTATTTGTTACACCCTCTCATTCAATAACTCATATCATTGTAGTAAGGTATGTAGAGATAACAACAACAACAAAAGCCTTTATTTAGGGCATTCCGCCCCATACAGGATTCGCCGTATTTACACGTCAACAAGAGGAGAGGGAAGAGGAAACATTTACAACAAAATAAGGTTTGTCTCACATTCAGTTACCTATTTACAGATAGTTCATCCTCCAGTATCCTTTGCCCTGCATTCTTTCTCATGCGCCCAGCTTCTGTGCAGAACTTAAAGTATCTAACAATCAGTAATTCATCATTCAGAGCTGAAGAGAGAAGTTGACATATGCGATGGTATCTAAATTGACCAGAGTTAGGGCTTGGGGAAATTTCAGTACGTTTTTCTGTTAAGAGAGGGCATTGGACGAAATAGTGAACCAAATTATCATCCATGAGATCCTTACAAAGTAAACAGTTCCGGCCATTTTCTTTCCAGAAGCCTTTCCTTTCTTCCCTGAAAAATTGCCATAAAACTCTATGTTGTGCAACTAGTCTTTTGTTGGGAAGCGAGATATTTAATCGTAGGTACTCCTTTGTCATGAATGATTCACTCAAAAATTTGTAGTGAGCAAAGTGGGTTGAATCAGTGATTTTCATCTGATCGTTTTGAATTAGTTGGTCTGTGGTGGTTCTAATTATGCCTGGCAATGGTATGTAGAGATAATATTTGATGATATTAAAAAGAAACGCATTGCCAGTAAATTTATTTGAGTAAAATTTTAACGATAGTTGGCAATTAAATTTAATTTAAAAACAAAGGTGTTGCCATATTTTAGGGAAAAAAAAATTAAAGACTCGAATCCAAAACAACGCAACTTCGAAAATCTAACGACGCACAGTGAAAATCAGTAAAAATTAAGCAGCGACTCAACTTCGAAAAAAAAAAAAAAAAACGCAAAACGAAACGACGCTAAGCGAGGTATTGGTGTACTGTGATACAAATTATTTGATGAGATGGCTTTGTTTATCAGCGGTGAAACTTGAAGGCGGTTTCGCCATATAAATATATCATGAAAATTTTGCTCGGGGAGGATATATTGTTAAAAAATAAAGGTCTACCTCTCCCGTCAAAATAGACGTAAAAACTAGACGTAATTAGTTGCACAATCAGAAGATATCTTTCGCATAATATATACATTTAATGTTATATATAAAGATAAAGGTCACCTCTCCCGTCAAAATAGACGTCAAAGCTTGACACCATCTATTGACCGTCACCGCAAACTAGCGGCCTCGAGTCGGTAACAAAGCCACAACACCAGCTTTGGTAAACTGAGAAGTGTCCACCTAGAGACCATGGTTTCTGGTTAATGGCCCTCGTCAGTACAGGGCGGACTTTATTCCGTTTTATCAATATAATTCCATACTTTTTGAAAATAGAACAATCCATAAATAAATCTTTAATTAAAGTCATATAATGGATCAAAATAACATTTATTTTACCAATATTTCAGTTGGCTGAACGCCAACCTTTATCAAGGTATTATAACATATTAATGTATGTCAACAACAAACTCAGCGCCACATAACGTCAACAGAATTAAGTTTTACAAATTTTATTTTGTCCCTAATTTAAATGTATATATCAAAATTCTGTCTCCCCATTGAATATAAGCAAAAATATTTTAAAAACTTAATTCTATTGACTTTATGTGGCGATGAGTTTGTTGTTAACACACATTAAAATGTTATAATACCTTGATAAAGGTTGGCGTTCAGCCAACTGAAATATTGGTAAAATAAATGATATTTTGATCCAATATATGTCTAATGCAATATAATGAGGCTTATGATTGTAGAACGGAATTTGGAAAATGTTTCTAAGGTTAGAAATAATCGTTATTTCTCCTTAAAATGAATTTCGATTTTTCGTTCAAAAGAAACATTTCCGGGATAATTGTCAAACGTCGTTCTACAATCATAAGCCGTATTATATTGTATTATAAAATACTTTATATAATATTTACGAACGGAAAAATACAAGGTGTGTTAAAAAAGTATCGCGACTTTTGAATTTTCGTGAGTTACGTATATTCGAATTTCGATCTTTTTGTGACTTTATGTTGGTACTCATCTCTCTCACTTATGCCGTCAAGCTCGGCCATTTTGAATGTTCACTTAATTGTTGACAGCTGCTTTGCTTGCAGGTGTTTTGGATCGTCTTCGATTTTTACCTATTAAAAAAATGGATCGAAGAACCTGTATCAAATTTTGTGTGAAAAACGAAATTAAGAAGCAACGTTTATCGGTGGTACAAAATGTTCTCAGAAGGACGAGAAGATGTGAACGACGAAGAGCGTGGCGGAAGCCCGAGCACTTCAACAACAGACGGAAAAATTAATGAAGTGGAGAAAATGATATTGGCCAATCGTCGAATCACCGTTAGAGAAGTTGCTGAGGACCTAAACATATCGATTGGCTCGTGCCATTCGATTTTTATCAATGATTTGGGCATGAGACGGGTCGCCGCGAAATTCGTACCAAAATTGCTCAATTGCGACCAAAAACAGCATCGCATGAACATTGGTAATGAGATGTTGGACTCTGTCCGCGACAACCCAAATTTGCTCCAGAGGGTCATAACTGGTGACAAAGCGTGGGTTTATGGTTATGACGTGGAAACCAAAGCTCAATCATCTCAATGGAAGCTGCCGCACGAACCAAGACCGAAAAAAGCGCGCCAAGTTCGGTCGAATGTGAAAGTTTTGCTGACAGTTTTCTTCGATTGTAGGGGCGTGGTGCATCATTAGTTCTTGCCAAAGGGTAGAACGGTCAATAAGGAATATTACCTGCAAGTTATGCGCAATTTGCGCGAAGCAATCCGCCAGAAACGCCCGGATTTGTGGAAGAACAAAAATTGGCTTTTGCACCACGATAACGCCCCTGCTCACACATCGTTGCTTGTGCGCGACCTTTTGGCCAAAAACAACACACTAATGATGCCGCAGCCACCGTATTCCCCAGATCCGGCCCCCTGTGACTTTTTCTTGTTCCCTAAACTGAAGAAGCCCATGAAAGGACGACGTTACACTACGCTTGACGAGATAAAGACGGCATCGAAGGAGGAGCTGAAAAAGATTTTTTAAAAATGATTTTTTGAAGTGCTTCGAAGATTGGAAAAACCGTTGGCACAAGTGTATGATATCTCATGGGGATTACTTTGAAGGGGACAAAATAGGTATACAGGAATAATGATTAATTTTTGAAAAACACAAAAGTCGCGATACCTTTTGAACACACCTCGTATGTCCAGGGTAGCTTAGTGGACATGGCATCTGCCCGGTAAGCGGAACACTGTGGGTTCGATTCCCATCTCCAGGACACTTTTATTTTTCCATTTATCATTACTCTTCGCAATTCATCCTTTCATACTTCATCCCTAAGGTTAGAAATAATCGTTATTTCTCCTTAAAATAAATTTCGATTATACGTTCAAAAGAAACATTTGCGGTAAAATTTCCAAATTCCGTTCTACAATCATAAGCCGCATTATATTGTATTAGACATATATTGGATCAAAATATAATTTATTTTACCAATATTTCAATTGGTTGAACCCAAACTTTTTACAATATATATCTTTCCAATATGATACCATACTTGCATGAAGAAACACTTATCCTAAAAAAGACCTATCTCTAACTGGACTTTTGTCTAGGTCAGTCCTGAGGACCTACCAAGCCGGACTCTCCGTATGACGGTGTACGATGTGGACCAATCAAGAGTCCGTTATTGTCTTGGACATGTCACAGTACCATTGGACCGTGAAGGACTCTTGGATGATTCGACATTGTGCAGGGAACTTGAAGACATCCCTCCTGTATGTTTCACTTTCTGTATTTACTCATCCAACTTTGTATACGAAAAACGAACAAAATATTACAATGATCTTATTTAGAAGCTTAGTATATGGTTGGTATAACCGTCGATTTTCGATAGTTAAAATATTAAAACGAAAATATCACATTTAACCCTTTTTAAAGAAAAAAATTATATCAATGGCCTCAGATTGGTACAAAGGTCTAATAACAAAACTGAGTGCAAGTATCCATTCGGGCTCTAAACAGTAAACAACAGTTTACAGTAAAAGCTGTTGCTAACTGCCCACTATGATTATCATGGCCTGTACCTTGTATAGACATGTGGTATACTTACAGTAAAATCAGTCGCTAACTACCCACAATGATTATCATGGCCTGTGGTCATCACGTTGATAGGCATATATTCAACACACTAGTAGGCGTGGCCAACACCTTGGGAGACATGAGAAGCTCACATATAGGCGTGGTCATCACGTTGATAGACCGATATTGAACACACTAGTGGGCGTGGCCAATACGTTGGTAGGCGTGGTCATTATGCTGATAGACCAATTCAACACAGTAGTGGGCGTGACCAAATCATAGGTAGGCGTGGTAATCACGTTGATAGACACATTCAACACACTAGTGGGCGTGGGCAATACATTGGTGGGCGTGACCAACTCACAAGTAGGCGTAGTCATCACCTTGATAGACAGATTCAACACACTAGTGGGCGTGGCCAACTCATTGGTGGGCGTGACTAACTCACAGGTAGGCGTGGCCAACACATTGTTAGGCGTGACCAAGTCGCAGGTAGGCGTGGCCAAAACAATGGTAGGCGTGACCGAATCACATGTAGGCGTGGCCAACACATTAGTAGGCGTGGCCAACACATTAGTAGGCGTGGCCAACACATTTAGGCGTGGTCATCACGTTGATAGGCAGATTCACCATATTATTGGGCGTGGCCAACACATTGGAAGGAATGGCCAAGTCGCAGGTAGGCGTGACCGAGTCGCAGGTAGGCGTGACCGAGTCGCAGGTAAGCGTGGCAAAAACATTGGTAGGCGTGACCGATCACAGGTAGGCGTGGCCAACACATTGGTAGATATGACCAAGTCGCAGATAGGCGTGACCAAATCACAGGTAGGGGTGGTTAACAGACTGATAGACATATTAAACACATAAGTAGGCGTGTCCAACCGACTGATGGGTGTGTCCAGAGACACCCAAGGGCGGGGCAACTAGAACTGGGGCTGATGTACTGCCCAGGAGAGCGTCGCGTCCGAGTCTCCGTCTGCAGACTACGTCACGTAGCCCCGGGTCGCGAATTAACCGTCGAAGTGGGGATCTACCTCGGTGTACGACGAGCCAAACTCAAATCTACCATAGCTCGACGTGTAGATCACGATGGTATAGCTGAATATAAAGAAAGCTTCGCTTTTTTCGTGACGGAGCGGTTCTTTGAGAGCTGTAGATTGGAGGTGTCAGCTATTGATGCTTTGGAGGGACGGGCTGTAGGTAGAGCCGTGCTGGGGTCTCACCTCTTCGCCCGTGGGTGTAAACTCTCCCATTGGCAGGATATGCTCAATAATCCCCGGGAAGATGTTGTCCGATGGCACTCCTTGGAAGACATTGTTGGATCTTAGACTATTCTTTGCTCTTAGATCTCCTTAGAAGATATTGTTGAACCCTAGCCCACTCCTTCCTTTTAGACTTCCTTAGAATACCTTGTTGATCCCTAAGCTACTCCTTTCTCTTAGATATTAAATTAATAAGATATTGAATCTTAAACCACTCTCTCCTTGTTCTCATATCTCCTTGACACCATTGTTGGACCATAAACAACTCCTTTATTTTATTTATATCTTTTCGATCCTTTATTTTAGATATTCTTATAGGACATTGTTGGATCTTAGACCATTCGTTCCTTTTATACTTCCTTAGAAGACATTGTTGAACCCTAGACCATTCCTTTCTCTTAGATCTCCTTAGAAGACATTGTTGAACCCTAGACCATTCCTTTCTCTTAGATCTCCTTAGAAGTCATTGTTGGATCTTAGACCATTACTTTCTCTTAGGTTTCCTTTAAATCCATTGTTGAACCCTAAACTACTTCTTTCTCTTTCCTTAGAAGACATTGTTGAACCCTAGACAATTCCTTTCTCTTAGATCTCCTTAGAAATAAATACATTGTTGAACCCTAGACAATTCCTTCCTTTTAGATCTCCTTAGAAGATATTGTTGAACCCTAGATAATTACTTTCTCTTAGACTTCCTTAGAAGACATTGTTGAACCCTAGACAATTCCTTCCTCTTAGACTTCCTTAGAAGACATTGTTGAACCCTAGACAATTACTTTCTCTTAGACTTCCTTAGAAGACATTGTTGAACCCTAGACAATTACTTTCTCTTAGACTTCCTTATAAGGCATTGTTGAACCCTAGACAATTCCTTCCTCTTAGAATTCCTTAGAAGACATTGTTGAACCCTAGACAATTACTTTCTCTTAGAATTCCTTAGAAGACATTGTTGAACCCTAGACAATTCCTTCCTTTTAGATCTCCTTAGAAGACATTGTTGAACCCTAGACAATTCCTTCCTTTTAGATCTCCTTAGAAAAAATACATTGTTGAATTCTATACCATTCCTTCCTTTTATACTTCCTTAGAAGACATTGTTGAATTCTATAACATTCCTTTCTCTTAGATCTCCTTAGAAGATATTGTTGAACCCTAGACAATTCCTTCCTCTTAGACTTCCTTAGAAGCCATTGTTGAACCCTAGACAATTACTTTCTCTTAGAATTCCTTAGAAGACATTGTTAAACCCTAGACAATTACTTCCTCTTAGACTTCCTTAGAAGACATTGTTGAACCCTAGACAATTCCTTCCTCTTAGACTTCCTTAGAAGACATTGTTAAACCCTAGACAATTCCTTCCTCCTAGACTTCCTTAGAAGACATTGTTGAATTCTATACAATTCCTTTCTCTTAGATCTCTTTGATAGACATTGTTGAACCCTAGACAATTCCTTCCTCTTACACTTTCTTAGAAAACATTGTTGAACCCTAGACAATTCCTTTCTCTTAGACTTCCTTAGAAAAGACATTGTTGAACCCTAGACAATTCCTTCCTCTTAGATCTCCTCAGAAGACATTGTTGAACCCTAGACAATTCCTTCCTCTTAGACTTCCTTAGAAGACATTGTTGAACCCTAGACAATTCCTTTCTCTTAGATCTCCTTAGAAAAGATATTGTTAAACCCTAGACAATTACTTCCTCTTAGACATCCTTAGAAGACATTGTTGAACCCTAGACCATTCCTTCCTCTCAGATCTCCTTAGAAGACATTGTTGAACCACAAACCACTCCTTTCTCTTAGATCTCCTTGAAAGACTTTAAATTAAAGATACTTCGACCATTATAAATGTTTTTATTACATCGACGTTTCGACAAATATCTTTTTTTTTTCCTCGTCAGGAGCAAACAAAAATTAGAACATTTGGCAAAGCGTTAAAAATTATTCTAAAATTTTTGTTAGCTCCTGACGAGAACAAAAGATTTTTGTTGAAACGTCGAGATAATAAAAAGATTTACTGACCGAAATATCTTTAATTTGAAGAACTATGAATGCCGGCCAGGCAGCCTCTATCTTTAGGGTCCTTAAAGGGCATTATTGGATTCTAGATCATTCTTCTTTTTCTCAGATCTTCTTAATGGACTACTACAGGATATGCATTTGTAGACACAGACGTCAAATAGTTATGACTCTTTAGGAAAACTATTTTTATATGGATTTGTATTGTGATTTAGAATGAAAATACAAAGTACTAGTCAAATTGTATAAGTTAACACTTGTAAAACCTCTTTAATATGTATCTCAATAATACGAGTATAATATTTTTTCTCTCTCTCATATAGCTATAATAATTGTGTTGGTCAAAAACTTTAAAAATTCATCATATTATGCGTTTTTTCAAAGTCTCCGTCAAATTTGTATTAACTTTATCTCCCCTCTCTGTAGATAACTGTTATATTTACCAATTTAGGAGAATCTTGTATAGGACAAGTGTGTCCTTAATAAAGGCTTGTTTTTTGTTGTAGATAACTGCTATGTTTACTTCTGTATCTGAGAGAATCCTGTATGGGACGAGTGTCCTTAATAAAGACTTGTTGTTATGCATTAACTTTACACAAATTCTGGAAAACAACACAGACAATAGGTACAATACAAATAATATATCCAACTTGTAGAAAGGTCGATGTTAATCTCTACTTTCTGTAGATAACTGTTATGTTTACTTCTGTATCTGGGAGAATCCTGTATGGGACGTGTGTCTTTAATAAAGGCTTGTTGTTGTAGATAACTGTTATGTTTACTTCTGTATCTGGGAGAATCCTGTATGGGACGTGTGTCCTTAATAAAGGCTTGTTGTTGTAGATAACTGTTATGTTTACTTCTGTATCTGGGAGAATCCTGTATGGGACGTGTGTCCTTAATAAAGGCTTTGTTGTA